GAATAGTAAGTACATGAAAGGACAGAGACAGTTATCCTACATTTAAAAATAGGAATCCATACTGATGACTTGGGGGAGATAGTTTTAACTGCATGTAACAGCTAACATTTATGGATCTCTTTCTTTGGTCAGGTACTGTCAGGCACTTGATGTACTATCCTCACAATGAGAATTATCACTGTTATCATTTTTACTTTTGTAGGTGAAAAAAAGTGAACACAGAAAAATTAAGGAAATTGTCCAATGTAGTAAGTGACAGAGATGAGATGAGATACAAGCCTATGGACTCTAAGATAAAACACTATGCTCTGGGGGCTCCGTTGGTTAAGTGAATTTGGCTCAGATCATCATCTTGCAGTCTGTGGGTTCAAGCCCTGCATTGGGCTCTGTGCTGACAGCTCAGAGCCTGAAGTCGGCTTCAAATTCTATGTCTTACTCTTCTTCTCTCTGTCCCTCTCCTGCTCATGCAATCCCTCTCTCGCTTGCTCGCTCTCCCTCTCAAAAAAAAAAAAAACATTTAAAAAATTAAAAATAAATAAAATGCTATGCTCTGACTCATATTGTTATACTCCCTCTCTCTATGAATATGTACTAATACGCAGCATGAAGCACGAGACACTCAGGGGGCTATGCCTAATTTGGGTTGATGTGGACTCTGGGTCTTCCATATTGCCATGGTGGAACATCAGGATTGGCCAAGTTTCTCCTCTACAAACTGGGATGGTGTGAAGAGGGGCCGACCTCATAGTATTCTCATGAAGATTAAGTAATGTTCATTAAGTGTCAATTTCTAGTAAGGTATCAATAAATGTATTTATTTTAGAGAATAACAGTCTGCTTCTCAAACTAAAAAAGCTTCATTTTAGTTGTCTATGCATTAATTCATGTAGAAGTTCTTGACTATACTTAATTACAGTTGATATTTGAGGGAGGAGAATTTAAAAACTAAATTGGGACCTTGGCTTTCCCTTCACATTCAGGCCTCAAGCCACACTTGACCTATGAAGGAGTGAAAATATCAGTATTTATAGTAGATACTATAGATAAATTCACTTCAGAAAACTTACAGGTCTGACATGTAAGTTAAAAACTTATCAAACAAGTTGGGATGATGTTATTTAGGCTACATGGAAGTTCATCACAGCCATTTAAAAGAAGAATCTTAAACTGCTTCGGGTGCCTGGCTGGCCCATTTGGTCGAGGGTCTGACTTTGGCTCAGGTTATGATCTCACAGTTTGTGGGTTCGAGCCCCTCGCCTCCCTCTCTCTCTGCCCTTCCTCTGCTCATACTCTTTCTTTCTCTGTCTCTCAAAAATAAAACATTAAAAAAATTTAAAAAAAACTGCTTCATCATATTTTCAAGTTTCAGCTGGGAGCTGAAGAAGAGAACAGGGAAGAGAACAATGAGTGGCACACAAGTGTAGTTTTAACTGATTCACCAACTAACAACAACAGCTGGGGGTGGTTTGTAAGTCCAGTTTTGCCTAAAAAAGAATTAGATTTCTCTTACCTGGGGTAGATGAAAAATATCCATAGCTTTTATCAATTCCTCCAGTCTTGGCATCAAGTAAGCTCTTCAGGCATGTTACCTCACCTCAGATTACTCAGGTGAAAATTACCAACTGGTATTTTTATGGTTTCATCCGTCGTCATTAAACCATGATTAAGGCTTACCAGCTACCACCTGTGCACCAAACTACATTCAAATGTTACAAGCTCTAAGATGACTGCTTCTGATGCTCTTGTGGTCTCAACTCAAAAAGCAGCCAGAGTCTGCTACTGATAAATATACAGATATATTTATCTTACTTATTAAACAACTTGACTATCACTATTCTGTGGCAAGAAACTTAAGGTCTGCATGGGTTTAGAGTCATCTGGTTTAACTATAGAGTATAAACACTGGAAAAGGTAATATGATTGCACATTTGAATCACCTGGGAGATTGCTTTTTAATCCTGACACCCAGGTCATGGTTTCAAAAATGAAATCTACATCTCCTGTGATTGGACTGAGGCAGCTGTACTTTTAATGGCACCTTGGTGATTTAAATGTACAGTTAAATTTAAGAAGTTCTAGATCTAGGGAAGACAGCAAAGTTAATACAGAGAAACCGTGTCTGCTCAGCTGGCCCACCTTTCCCCACTAAGGCATTCAAGGCCTCACACACAGAGCAAATATAGGTCCCATTAGCTAAGGTGCAGACAGATGTACTATCTGCTGGCCCTGTGACTTTGTGACTATCATTTAACATTGCAGCACCTCTGCTTTCTTACCCCTAAAATATGTGATGATAATTTTTATTATCATTTCAACTTCTATATCCAGTTGTGAAGAGCAGAAAAGGCATGGGTGCTATATGAAACATGCATGACTTGTCAAAGATCAACAAATAGGAACACCTACCTGCTATTTGTTCAGGGGCTTCTCCCTCATTCCTTACCTCACTCACCTTGATCCCTTTTCCTACCATGGTGCTTTGCCAATGAGCATTCACTTAATGGGTGGTTGAAATGAATTACAAAATGGTCTTAAGAGGGGTTTTGGCCAGCAAAAAATCTGGACTTCAAGAGAGGAGATTGATTTAAAAGCTTTTCCTTAAAATATCTTTGATATAGGTAGACTGGAATGCATTAATGCATTTGTTCCATCCATTCATAAGAGCATACATTACTTGAATAATCACTGAGGTACCAGCTATGCACCAGGCACTATACTGAGAATGAAAAAAACCATTTACATTCTGTTGTGAGAGACAGACTTGTGAGCATGTAATGAAATGGATTCTACTCACAGTGACAAGTAATGGTCCTAAAGTAATAGGCTCAATATAGTTTGGATTTGTTTCAGCTTGAAGTATTAGACAAGAACTTATAATTACTGAATAGGACTTGTAACAAAGTACTGCATATAAAAGAAAAATAAAATTATTTTGAAACAGATGGGAGACTAAATTAGGTTTGGACGAGGCAAAATATGCAAATGATGTCTTCTTCCCATACGTCTGTTGCCCTCAGTTTTAATAACCTGGTACAGATCATTTTGTCTGAAAATGACTATATAGTTGCCCCTTGAGCTACATGGGTTTTAGCTACATGGGTCCACTTATATTCAGATTTTTTCAATAGAAACAGCACAGTAATGTGTTTTCTCTTATGATTTTCTTAATAGCATTTGCTTTTCTCTACCTTAGTTTATTGTAAGAACATACAGTACATAGATTATGTAACATATAATATATGTGTTACTGGTAAGCCTTCCAGTCAACAGTAGGCTATTAGGACTTAAGTTTTGGGGGAGTTAAAAGTTATACATGGATTTTTGACTGCACAAGTGGAGTCAGAGCCCTTAACCCTCACACTATTCAAGGGTCAAGTGTAGTTGCTAACATTTCTAAGGCCTTACTAGGCCACATTTCATTATGTGTTACATAGAATATGTAACCTAATAAAACCCTACAAGTTAGGGGCAGAAAATGATATATGTTCTACATTTGAGGAAACTGTGATTAATACAACTTAAGGAGCATTCCTAAGGCTATATTATACATGTGGGTTGAAATCCAGGTTTATTGGATTTTAAAACCCAAGCTCCTGACTTCTGCAATATATATTGCAATTATATTGACTCTCTAGCTAAAGAGTAAGCAACAGATGTGGTTCTAGTTTTCACATAACTGATAAAAGAGGATTGTGATCTTATAATTAATCATTCAACAGCTTTATTCTTACTTAAGGAATTTTATGCAGTATGAAAATATCATTCATGGACCTAGACTCCAATGTCCTGAGTCTGTGGCTTTGTAATAATCTATGTGAAACTTCTTCCTCATATGAGGAAAAATATATGAAAATTCAAGGTAAGTATCACCATATATAATACATTGAGCAATCTCAAATAATCTTAAAAGTGTGTGTGCGGGGAGGGTGGGGGGGTGAATGGTAGTGTTCCGAAAATGTCACAGGTATTTTTTCAAAAACAGTAATTTCAGTGGTTCTTGTACATAGGCCCAATTACTGTGTATGTCTTCAGATGTCATTATGATAATTATGGGTGTTGAAATTAATAGACATCAGTCTGTGCTGGTAAATGTGTAACAGTTTACTGGAGAAAAAAGGCAGTCCTGATATTTAGTGTTTGCCTATTTCCATGATGTTAATACTTTCACCTTGGCTGACTTCAGGCTACCAATGTGATATCTCTCAATACAACATTTGGGAACACAATGAGCTCTTATGAGCTTGTGTGAGCAGCCCCAAAATATAACTGCCCAGACCAAAACAAAAGTCTGTTGAAATTATAAGTATGATTTTTCCCTAGTTAACTGAAATTTATTAAGAAAATTTACCAAAGAAAGCCAATGATGGTGATTAAGGAAAACTAGAACAAGAAAACTTTTAAACACTTTTTATAATGCTAGTTTTCTTCAAAATGAAATAATAGGGGCAGCTGGGTAGCTCAGTCAGGTAAGTGTTCGACTCTTGATTTCACTCAGGTCATGATCTCAGGGTCATGAGATTGAGAGCCCTGCATCAGGCTCTCTGTTGAGTGAGGAGCCTGGTTTAGATTCTCTCTCTCCATCTCCTGCTCACACACTCTCTCTCTTCCTCTTTTTTTAAAGATTTAAAATTTTTTTAATGTTGATTTATTTTTGAGAGAAAGAGAGAGAGAGACAGAGAGAGACAGCCTGAGTGCAGCAGGGGCAGAGAGAGAGGGAGACACAGAATCCAAAGACAGGCTCCAGGCTCTGAGCTGTCAGCACAGAGCCTGACATGGGGATCAAACCCATGAATGTGAGATCATGACCTGAGCTGAAGTCAGATGCTTAACCAACTGAGCAACACAGGCACCCCACTCTCTGTCTCTCTCTTAATGTGACATGACATGACATAACATAATATAACATAATGTAACAGCATTTCTATGTAATTGCTGACAGAAGTAAAAGCAAATCAACTTAGAAAGGGGAATGAAGATTATTGATATTGGTTACTGAAACACTAAAACACAAAGAAATGTGTCTTACCTAAAGAAGTTCTGGCTGGCACAGCATCCTTATTGATCCAGAAAGATACCCAGGATAGGACAACGATGAGTGTGCAGGGGATGTAGGTCTGGATGGTGAAGTATCCCATTCTTCTGCTCAGGTCAAAGTAGACAGACATGACCACATAATCTCCTGGAACAGAAAAAAGATAGCACCATGCTAAACCTTATTAAACTTGAAAAGCATTTAGAATGGAATGCTTTTAAATAGAATGGAAGCCCAGCAATAAACCCATGCTGATATGGTCAATTAGTCAATGACAAAGGAGGCAAAGAGGTCTCCAATAAATAGTGTTGGGAAAATCAGACAGCTACATGCAAAAGAATGAAACTGGATGGGTGCCTTATACTATATACAAAAATAAATTCAAAATGGTTTAAAGACTTGAATGTAAGACCTGATACCATAAAACTCCTAGAAGAAACATACGCAGTAAGTGCTTCAACATCAGTCTAAATAACATATTTTTGGACCAGTCTCAGGCAAGGAAAACAAGAACTAAAACAAATGAGATTATTCCAAACTGAAAAGCTTTTGCACAGTGAAGGAAAGCATCAGCAAAATGAAAAGGCAACCTGCTGAATAGAAGATGTTTTCAAATGATATATTTGATAAGAGGTTAATATCCAAAATATATAAAGAACTTACATAATACTAAAAAATCCAATTAAAAATGAGTGGTACTTGAAAAGGCATTTTTTCTAAAGAAGACCTACAAATGCCAAGAGGCACAAGAAAAGATGTTCAACATCACTAATCATCAGGGAAATGCAAATCAAAACCTCAGTCACACACCACTTCATACCTGTCAGACTTGCTATTATCAAAAAGACAAAAAAAATAAGTTATTGGAAAGGATGTGGAGAAAAGGCAATCACCCTTGTTTGCTGTTGCTGAGAAAATTATTCGGTGCAGTCAATATGGGAAACAGTATGGAAGTTCCTCAAAAAATTAATAATAGAAATATCATACAATCCAGAAATTCTATTTCTTTTTACCAAAAGGAAACAAAAACACCAATTTGAAGAAATATATTAATTCCTATATTTATTGCCACATCATTTACAATAGTTAAGATGCAGAAGCAACTTTAGTGTCCATCCACAGATAAATTGATAAAGATGTAATATATATACAATAGAATATTACTCCACCATAAAAACATAATTAAATCTTGCCATTTGTGGTACCATGGATGAGTCTAGAGGGTATAATGCTAAGTAAAATAGTCAGAAAAAGACAAATTTCACTTAGATGTGCAAACTAAAAAACAGAACAGAAACAGATTCATAGATACAGGAAACAAACTTTATTACCAGACTGGGGAGGGGTTGGGGGTAGGTGAAATAGGTAATGGTGATTAAGAGGTACAAACTTCTAGTTATAAAATAAATAAGCCATAGGGACGTAGTCAATAGTATTGTAATACTTTTGTATGGTAACAAATGGTAACTAGATGTATCATGGAGATCATTTTGCAATGTATAAAAATATCAAATCACAATGATGTATACCTAAAACCAATAGATTATTTTATGTCAATTATATTTCAGTAAAAATCTGCAAAGCATTTGAAAATAAGCATATACTGAATTTCCATGTTCACACATTTAAGAGTTCTGTACAAGGGGTATTTGAAAACTATCTTCTGTCCATTTGAGTTAAAACACAAGCAAACAAAAACTCAGATTAAGCTGATTTCTGATCCTTTCATAAGTATTGTGACTATGAGATGAAAAGAAACCTTTTGAGCATATTGACAGTATTTTCTTCCTTCAGGTGTTTCTTGATGGTGCCTTGTCTGCTTACTTAAATATATACAATATAAAACTTTTTGCTTGGGCGGGGGGGAAGGAAGGAAACAGTGCCTATATTGAACCCTAAGGTTTGTAACAACTTCCTCTTATTCTCAGAACCTTTTTCTATACAAGCCACAGGAGACTATGCTGGTGGTTGACGCCAGTAAATGTCTATTTTACTCAGTTTATAACCAAATTTCTATGCTGAGACATTTTTATCATGTTTCATTGAAACATATGGCTTTCCTTCATAACACTTACTGCAATTCTTAATTTCTCATTCATTTGCGTGTCTATTTTTATAATATCTGTCCTAGTAGAATTTATCTGCACAAGTTTACAAAGAGTGCCTATTTTAGCATACCATTACACTACCAGTACTCACATCCTATTTGACTCCAAATAGGTATTCAGTAACATTTGTTCAATAAATGATCAAAAGAAAAAATGATAAATTTTATCATTTATAAATTTAAACATAGAGGAGGGAAAACACAAAAAGCTATATTCTGGAACATTGGGTTAAAAAAGGAGTTTATGTAAATAATCCTGAGAGTAGAGTAATAGGGGAATCAAAGAATAACCACATGGCTATGCATAAGAACAATTTAATGTGACACAATTTGAAGTCTCTAATTTTTATTTATTTTTTTAAGAAAACATTTATTTATTTCCAGAGAGAGAAGGAGTGCCCCCAAGCAGGAAAGAGGCAGAGAAAGAGTGAGAGAATCCCAAGCAGGCTCTGCCCTGTCAGCTCAGAACCAACCCAGGCTCAAACTCACAAACCGTGAGACCATGACCTGGGCGGAAATCAAAAGTCGAATGCTCAGCTGACTGAGCCACCCAGGCACCTGTGAAGTCTCTCTCTCTTTTTTTTCTTTTTAAATCATTTTGCATGCATTGCTTTGAAAATTTCATGTTTTATGTTTTGTATGATTCCAAGTGAAATTTTAGGGAATTAAAATGGTTTAACTAGATTATACTATGGAAGCATATTTTAGTTACTATACATTTTCTTTATACTCTCAGAGAATATTAGTTTCCAAGACTGTCTGCTCTTGCAATGTGAGATGAACATGAGACCACTTCTCAAATGTTGTATTTTTTTTCTTTACTAAATTATAATTTGTCATAGAATACATAAAGAACAAAATCCAAATCCTGCATTTTGGTTTAATTATTTGGCTTTGTGCCAATGTTTCTCTACTTATTTAGGAGATTTAGATTTGATTTGAAAATCAAGTACTGTAGAAGCCTCTGACAGAAACAATTGATTTAGCAGAGTGAGTTATCAGTCCTCAGTCCATGTCTTCCATCCCAGTTGCAAGCGTGATTCTATACCCTTCCAAGCTGATGAGACAGGAAGCCCTCTTCGTTACTTCTCCAGGGAGTAATGACTCTCCCTTAAGTGGGGTTATGAAACCTCCTAACACTGCCTGTTGGTGGACTGATGTACCCTTATTTGCCCAAGTCAGGCTTGGTTAAGGCAGTGATAGTGACCCAGACACTAACTGGGAAATTCAACTTCCATTTGGCCTTGAGTTTCCTCTCAGAGATCAACAAGTAATCATTTTTAGCCACTATCCCTGAAAACATAAAGGTAGGGATATCTCATTGGTATTAAGCTTGATATATTGGTCTTGAATAGCTTATTCTTCTCTATGTTTATTTATCTGGATGACTTAAGCTCTCTAAAGTCATGGTATTTCATAAGTTAGTTTGGTCTCTGCTTTTCTAGTTTAGAATATAATAGACACAGGCTATGATTGTGGAGTAAAGACATTTAATTTGAGATTATCCTAGTAATGTCTGTCTTTTTCTTTCCTCTTTGATCAGAATATCAAAGGCAAATGCAAGTTCTCATATGTTAGATAGGAAAAACAAGGAGAGGTTTTCTTTTTAAATAATAATATTCAGTGGTACTATTTCTCCCTCTTTTCGGAGTCCTTGAGAGTTTTCTGCATATTTTAAACATGTGTTTAAGTGAGACTTTATAAATTATAATATTTTAAATATATCTAGACAATTTTAGTAACTTCGTTTTACTTCTTATCATGTAAGTGAATGAGAATCTACACTTTGGCCTTAATGATCTGATTCTTTTAAAGGTGAACTTTAATTTTGTCTCAAGTTAACAAGATAATTATCTCAACTCAATTCTCCACTTCCCTTTGGGTCTGAATCTAAACTTCCATAGCCTATTTATCTATCAATTTCTATTTTAAGGTAATAGCTTCTGAGCATCTTTCATCTTTGCCAGCAAATCCAAAGCTTTTCTACCAGTAGATTATGAATTCAAACTTGGGAACAGGCCATTTAAAAGCAAAGCAGCTTCACAGTGACAGCTTGATGTCTGTCTTATCTCTAAGGCCACATCCCTTTTTGTATTTTTAAAAACTCTGGGCCAAGGAGCCTATAAAATCAAATCCCCTGAAAGTGCCACATCAGTGATTCCTAAACCCAAAAGGTTTAAATGCCAACCAAGTCAAAAGTGGTTATTTCAGCCACTTCAAATATATTTCTTCTATTGATTTATTCTAACATATAATATTTAAAGTCATAGCATTTTATAAATTAGTTAAGTCCTTGTTTTTGTCCTAATTTAGAATATAATAGACACAAGCTATGATTGAAAATAGAGGACAGGATTTGAACAACATCCACTAAGGGTCCATTCTTTCTTTAGTTTTTTATAAGCTTCTTATGTTTGGTTTTAGCAAGAGACTATCAATGTCAATTAACAACGAATTCCATTTTTTTAAACTATGTTGTTAACCATATTAAACCTTTAAAATTCAGTGTTTATTAGGGTGTTTAGGATTTATTTCATATACAAAACTATTTTCTAAAACCTTCAAGATTCCATGGTAGAAAAGTCTTCCACCCCAATGAACACCTGAAATAATGAAAACAGTATTTTCTGGTTACCTACCATACAGTAATGAGGACCTACTATATAGAGAGACTGGGACTGAATGATTTGCATATAATATCTCAACATCACCAACACCTTGTCAGGACAGTGAATAAAACAAAGACTTCACTTTGTTCCTCACTCATGACTCTTACTCCACTTAAATATCATTGAATAGAGTATATATTATTCTACTAGATTGACTTGAAGGCATAATTAGTGCTACGCTTTTCTTTACATTCTTTTCTTTAAATCAACAAACATTTTGAATCACTGATATGTATAGAGCATTCTATTAGGGAATGTGAAGATTAAGACCAATGGAATCTCATAACTGATTCTAAATTAAATAGATTAAGTGGGGACAAGAAAATTTTCTTCTGACTACAATTCAGATCTAGACATGTATTGAGATAATG